GGTTCTCCTTTAGCAGCTGTAACCAGTCAGCAGCCTGTCCATGTTGTCCACTCACACACACACACACACACACACACACACACACACACACACACACACTAACAGCAGGCCATGTAGGAGGAGAACAGAGTGAAGGACACAGGACCTCCACACTTTTACTCCCCGCTGGTTCACCCAACACCACATGTGTAATATAAATGTGTGGGGGGTGAACAGAGTGAAGACACTGAAAATGGGTTATTTTATATGATCTTCACAGAAAATGAGAAAAGGACAAGAATCTGAGGTTAAAATAATAATAAACAACATCATTTTTTCTTTTCGTAAACATTGAAAATGGGTCCCACAGACCTGAACACCACACAAGGGTTAGTCTGATAACAGAGAAATATATTTTATTTGGTTCTACTCTTTCAAAGTACCTGAGTGGATCTCCAGTCCACCGGCAGAACGGCCGCTCCTGCAGAAAGAGGCTAAAGAAAGATTTCTGCAGTTCTCCATGATTGTAGCCCTTTTGCTCTCATAACGATATGGAACATCTTGTTTGAGGGGAACAGCTTCCACTTTGCTGTTGCTTTTGTTAGTTCTCATGGTTCTTCAAGGGTTCTTTAGTAAAGAAAATGGTACTATATAGAAGCATGAACACTCAAAGAACCATCTGCTTAAACTGATTAAAGTGTTCTTTGCATTGTGAAAGCGTTCTTCAGATTGATGGAGAATGTGCTGTAGATGGTTCTAGATAGAACCTTTTTGAAAAGGGTTCTATATGGCACCAAAAAGGGTTTCACTATTGCTACAAGGCAAAAAAGATGGTTTTTAAAGGTTCTATAGTAAAGAAAATGGTTCTATGTAGAAGCATGAACACTCGAAGATCCCTTTGCATGATTTAAGGGTTCTTTGCATTGTTAAATGGTTCTTCAGATTGATGGAGAATGTGCTGTGGATGGTTCTAGATAGAATCTTTTTGAAAAGTGTTCTAAATATCACCAAAAAGGGTTCCACTATTGCTACAAGCCAAAGAACACTTTTTTGGTATACCCTTAAAAAAGATGGTTCTACAAGGGTTCTATAGTAAAGAAAATGCTTCCATATAGAAGCATGAACACTCAAAGAACGCTTTGCATGATTTAAGGGTTCTTTGCATTGTAAAACGGATCTTCAGATTGATAGCTCATGTGCTGTAAATGGTTTTATAGGGAACCTTTTTGAAAAGGGTTCTATATAGCACAAAGAGGGGTTCCACTATTGCTACAAGCCAAAGAATCTTTTTTTGGTACACTCTTAAAAAGGTGGTTCTTCAAGGGTTCTTTAGTAAAGAAAATGGCTCTATATAGACGCATTAACACTCAAAGAACCCTTTGCATGATTCATTGGTTCTCTGCATTGTGAAAGCACTTTTCAGACTGATGGTAAATGTGCTGTAAATTGTTTTATATAGAACCTTTTTGAAAGGAGTTCTGTATAGCACCAAAAAGGGTTCTTCTATTGTCACAAGTTTGACATCGTAATAATAGAAGAACGCTTTTTAGTGCTATACAGAACCATTTTCAAAAATATCCAACATATTCTCCATCAGTCTGAAGAACCTGAAGAACAAAGCCAATTAGAGGTGTCAGTGCTATAAATGATTAACACCACTGTTCTTTTTTTAATGCCATGACAAAGTTTTAAGTCTCATCCACAATCAAAACACATGGGTTCTTTAGTAAAGACGGTGTTTCTCTATAGAACCATGAAGAACCATTGTTTTTAAAGATGTAGATGGTAGATGATACTGGCATTAAAATAAATCAGTGGCGTTGATCATTTTTAGCCCTGACACCTCTAAGTGGCTCAGGTTTTACCTTCTGTGGCGGTTCCCTCAGCTATAAAAAGGTTCCTCACACTCGCACATCTCTTTTACAAAAGAAGCATCTATTAAAAGCTCTTAAGGGAACCAAAAGTGGTTCTGCTATGACATCACTCCAAGGAACCCCTTTATTTCTAAGAGCCTCTGCACTAAGGTTACCGTGCTCCTCTTCTGACTCTGTTGTCCACCTCAAGCGTGAGTGAAAGCTCCTCTAGTAGGTCAGCGTCCTCAGGGGGGGACGTTTGCCGAGAATGGGCGCAACTCGTTGACCCACAATTCCTTTTTCCTGCCTGTGTGTGGGCAGCCAAGGTGGGCGGAAGTGGAGAGTTAGTCATTCCCGAATGAGAGCACATCCGCACGGCTCAGAGGAAGACAAGGGCCTTCAGACACGCGGTTGCGCACGCAGCACCAGCAGGCCGGGACTCGAGCGCACGGCTCGGCCTGGAAGTATAAGCGACGACGAGGGAATAACCGTGTGTGGAAATCGGGTCGTTACCCGATTTGTGTCGCGAAGCTCTTTGCAATTCAGTTTTCGCGCAAGAATTGGAGTGGGCGGGCTGTGGTCTGCTTAACCTTGGCGTAAAAATGGTGATGTGAGATTGATGAAGGTGTGCTATTTAAAGCACTTTCTATTCACGTTCACTGCTCTTGTAGCGAAACCCCGTCTCAGCGGCTTCACTCAGAGCAAACACTCCCACATGAGAGCAGACAGGCCACCCTGTCAATGGGTCAGCAGGATGTGAAAACAAACAATTTCCTATCAGTAGGGCATTTTTAGCTCCTTTCACAGTCTGAATTCAGTGCAGCAGACATGCAGATTCCCCCGTCCAATTCCCCAGTACACTGCATCCTCAGCTGTGACTTTTACTTTCACAATGACCTATTCCATGCGCTTTACTGGAAGGCCTAGCCTTATGGGAAAGGCCTCAGACACAGGGTGGGTGGCAGTGCATGTATGACTGTGCTCCTAGACACCACTACACTGCCTGAGTACAGGACTTCTTAATGTACGTAATGTGTTTGTGACAACTTTTTGAAGCGGTTTAGCAAGTTATGGCTGACCTGCGTGGGGGAAAACTCCATAAGAAGCAATAGACTCAAGAAGCAATAGACTCAAGTTGTGGCGCATGATGTAAGTGGCGCCCAATGATGTAAGTTAGAATTTTAATTGCGGCATGTCTGAAGGTTCTTCTTTCTTTTGGACTTCCGCAGTTTCCAAAGCAATGACCAAATCCACTAAGTTATTTATCTTTACAATAACATCGCAGCAGTTAACTAGAATGAACCTGCATCGCTTACATATCGCTGCGGTCGGAAGAAAACCTCGTATCCCCATTTTTTGTCATTTTTCAGGTTTTGACATAATTTGAAAATGCCTGTTGTCCTTTACATTGTTTCTAAATTTCACAATGAATGGACCAAAAGAAACGGCCCAAAATGACTTGGAGAAATGTCTGGTTCCATTGACTTCCATTAAAAGTAAAGAAGGTTTTTCCCTTTTCTGTAAAGTTGCCAGTTTGGAGATAGGAGGTTTTCTTCCGACAACTGCAATATCCATCATAATCATTACCCACCATTATACCCAATCATGACTTACTCATACTGCGTCATATTTGGGAACACTTCTCTGTTTTTCGGCCAACCGTCTGAAAGGTCATTTAAAGTTCTCCTGTAAGTTTTCAAAGACAACTTTTGAAACCTCAAAGGCAGATCTTCATTCAGCACCGTTCTGCTGCCTGACTCTGATCTTTAAAGCAAACCCAAAACAAAAGTTGTCAGCACAAGTAAACAAAAGCTCATCTTTTTCAAAGTTTCTGTGGAACTGAGGGAAAGCGAAAGGGAAAAAACCATCAGCTTTCCTATGAACACAGCTGGAAATGAGCTGTGAACAGTGCTGGCTGTACGCCGGACCACTTATAACTGCCAGTGAAGGTGTTCGTAGATGCTTTGAAATCCTTGGAACTTTGTGGAATCTCCAAAGTTTGGAAATTTGGAAACAGTTTACTCTTGAATTCCCCCAACAAAAAAAAAAATAATAAAAAATAAAAACCCAAAGACCTGAAATCAGAGCTGACACAAGCAGAAGTGTTGTTTACAAACCTACGGCTTTATTGATTAAAAAACATGGAAACAGTGAACAATATTCAAGACTGTATATTGTTTCGAACCAAATAAAACAACCATTAAAACAAAGCAAGGCAAGTCGCCCCTTAGTCGCGTGACACTGTAGATTTTTGTGATTGCATGAGGACTACAGGTCCCTTTAGTCTTTGACTGATGGTCAGTGGAGGAGTGGGGCAAAAGCAAGGGCGAAAGCTGATGGGTAAACTGCCCTACTCCCCCCCCCCACATTGTTCACAAAAAACACTGTTATCCAGTAAAATTCCAGCTCTGTTCAGAAATTCCATTCATTTTTTCCCTCTTGTTTAGATACTCTTAGGAAGCTAATACTGTGTTATGAAACTGCTGGGGTGCTTGATGATCCGTGATATACTTTATATGGAAATCTTTGGCTTGAGGGTGGGGCAGGGAGCTCATTACTTGGGTCAAATACTTGCTAACGTCATCGTTACTGCACTCGCACACCCCATGTATCGGCGTGCCTACAAGCACACGGACGAGTTCTGTAAGATAGCTTGAACCGCTCAGCTTAACCAAATCAGTTTAGTGTGAAAAACAACAGAGCGCAAGCAGCTCTCTCCCTCTCTAAGAGCACAGCTGATCGTTCCTGGGGTGGCATCTACGACTATAAGCAGCAGCAGCAGCAGCAGCAGCAGCAGCAGCAGATCATATACAGCTCCACCCTAACGGTTCCATAGAAAACGATGCAGAGCGGCGGTGCGTCGTCCCTCAGATTCACTGTAGCAGGCTTCAAGTACGACATAACTACTATAAATCTGCCAGTTCAGGCCAGGGAAACAAAAAACGATACTGCCACACACAATACAGCACACTGTAGAAAAAAGATGGCGCCTTCCAGGACCATACACCTGCAGCATATGGACGACTGTCAGGTAACAAACTGGTAGTAAACATTAGACAGTGTCTTAAGTCTCGCTTCGGGGGTCTTGCGGCATTTTTAATCGCAAACAACAACCGAAGCTCACAAGAGACAGAAATGCTCGAAGCGTGGTCGTAAAACAATGTCACGCTCGTTTGTTTTAATACCACCTCAATAAATAAAGTATTTCTGGACTGATAAAAGGTATACGGATCACTGTTCTCACTCTTCATAACAATCAGAAAGAAAAAAACAAAAACGATTTTGTACAAAAATATAAGTTTGTGACATCCAAAGCCTTATTCAAGTTTCAAAAAAATAAATATTTCCTTGACGCTCAAAGGTCATTTGACAGCTCCTGTCTTCAGTACCCCTATCAAATCTATTCAGCTCCATACGAATATAGACATATATAAATAGAACGATCTATATATGTGTTTTTTTATAGGAAAGGCATTTCAGTGCACCAACAAATGAGCAGATTTATAGGAATTCTCTCTCTCTCTCCCCGTGTGTCTGTAAGCGTCGATCGTCGATCATCGATCGTCGATCGTGGATCGACCGCAAAAAAAGGAGCGAGCTGTCTTTAGGAGGTCTCCATGAAACGCAAGGCTAAACATAGTTCTTTATGGTATTATTCTAAACAATGTACTTTCACTAATATGAAGTAAAATTTTGGATACTGTACCAACAAACCGCAACTTTTTTATTTTGGAATCCACTAAAAAACATAGGCAAAAAAAAATAAAAATAAAATAAAATAATTAAAACCATTATGCTGTACATAGAGGATAAATATTAGACATCATTTACTGTTTCGATTTATGTGCAATTTATGTAGTTCCCCCAAAAAAAGTGCCAATATGACACCAGTATTTCAACCTGTACAACAACATAAATACCATATAGATAAAGTTTTGCATAAATAAATTGCTTCAGAGTCCTTACAAAATGAAAAGAAGGAAAACAACAAACAGAAAACAAAACAGAAAATGCACAATACTACTGATCAAAAGCCCTTTGCTGGCCAGCTCTGATTACAGCAGAGTCTTTTGCACTAAGTTGACCCCGTGCACTCGTCTGGACCCTCAATCCCTTTTGCAAAGCCTAACAACGTGTCTGCGCTTTAAATTAAGAAGCATCCATGGTTTCCAACGTAGCTGTTCAAGGTTAATACACGACATTAGGGCACATAACACAGCATTAACCCACTGTTAAACTGTATCTCCCAAGCAAAAAAAAAACCAAAAAAATCACAAGAGAAAATACAGTGCAAAAGGTCTTGGAATGCTAGAGAATGTTTCAGTTGAGTTCAGGCTCAAAAAAGAGTAAATAGGTACCTTTAAAAGTGTCTTTTTTGTTGCACAGTACCCCAAAACCTCACGGGTAGATGTAGATTTTCGTGTACTAATCAACGTCTCAATGTCTCGATATCAAACACAGTAAATTAATACTTATAAAAAAAGCTGAAACTCTCAGTTTCGTAGAAAAGTTCTTTTTTTTTTTCTCTCCTGTATTCACAAATTGCACGATATCAAACGAACCAACAAACGTACAAACAGTATGCTTCAATGTGTTATTGAGACACGGTGACCGGACTTCAACAAAATCTCCACTGGTATAACTACGTTACAATACGGTTGACATATCAATATCTGGGGGGGGTATTTCGTTGTTCAAATATGTGACAACTTCAAACAGGAACAGCACAAAAAAAAAGTTTTTCCTTATGTGACCGTATCACTGGCTATTTATAAACGTTCAGATCCGCATAATAGTGCATGGTATTGAACAATAAAAAAAACAAACAGCAAAGGTTACCCTGCAGCTGACTACGATGCTGTTAAAAGGGGAAAAAAAAGGAAGAAGAAAATGTATTCCCATCTCATCGAAGTGGAAAATTGCCTTTTTAGTCATAAGCTGGGTTGATAGTCTTCCTCTGGGGGGAGAAAATCTTTTTTTTCGAGCGCAGGAATTCCCGCAGTGAGTCAACGTTTGTGTCCTAAACCCGGTCTGTGCTTGCCCGTGTGACGGCATATTGTTGTTCCCTTACTAAGTCATCCCATTTGTTGGGGGTTTGGTTAGTATTGCTGTGTCCCAGTCCGTAGGTTCCCTATTGACCTGATGGAGTTCAAGTTCAAAGTGCAGTCAAACAATAACACACCGTTTAAAAAACATGTAAGCAAGACGAGGTGTGCTCATGATTGTATTCTCTGGAAAATCGCACAGTCTGTAGGTGAAACCGTTTTAGAGTGACGCTCAGAGGTTGGAGCCGAGTCGTGGCTGCCTCCGCCGCGCCGCTAGCGAAAGCTCCTCTCTCTCGCGCGCTCTCTCCGTTCCTAGAATTGCGTCCGTGTCAGTTGGACCGTCTCCACTTTTACGCCGTCCGTCTCACGTTACCTCGTCGCTTCTTCGCGGTGCTGACTCCCACAGTGACAGCGAGACAAGGTTGCAGAGGAGAGGACGAGAGTTCAGGGTGAGGCAGAGACACAGAGCAAGAGAGAGAGAGAGAGTGAGAGAGAGAGAGAGAGAGAGGAAAAAACCCTTTTTTTTGCATCTCTCATTGTTTCAGCAGCTGGTGCTCTCCCCACTCTTGGCCATGGTGGCTGAGCTGACTGCTATCTGGCAGCCATTGGTCACATGATTCATGACTTTCTGTTTGAGCTGCGCCACCTGCTCCCGCAGGATGCTGGCCGTGGACGCCAGGTCCGAGTTCTGCGCCTTCAGCACCTTCACCTTCTCCTCCAGCCGCGAGATCCGTTCCAGCTTCCTCTTGCGGCACTTGGAGGCCGCGATGCGGTTCCTCAGCTTCTTCCGCTCGGCCTTGATCCTCTCCTGGGTCTCCAGGTCGATGGGAGAGAGGGACGGCGGGGAGCTGGTGGGATCTCCGCCAGGCGGGTGAGGAACTTCCGGGACGGTCTGAGGAGCATCCAGACCGCGGCCGTGGGGGTGGTGACCCTGACCCTGGCTGGAATGGGCCGCGGCATGGGCGGAGGCGCTGTAGGGAATCTGTCCTCCGGGGTAGGACGAGGACACGGAGAGCTGGTTAGGGTTGTAGCTGCTTAGGTTGGTGTATATGGGCATCTCCCCGCCTGACATGAGGTTCCTCTGGTACGGGCCCTGGATGGAGGAGGAAGGGGACATGGGGGCTCCGACCAGCTGGTTCTGTTTGTGAAGATCCGCTAAGGCCTTGACGAAGCCATCCGCAAAGCCTTCCTGCTCGTTCGTGGCCTGGTTCCTGTACATGAAAGCGTTGCCAGAAGAACTAGGAGCAGGGCTTGTCGTGACCAGCCCCTGGTTAGACTGGATGATCAGGTGCTCCAGATCAGGAGAGGAGAGCTTCAGGAGGTTCATGTCGGACGAGGACATCAGAGAGCTGTTGGGGTTGCTGTTAATGCCCAGGCTGTTGGGGTTGATGTTGCCGTTGCTCCCGGCCTGGCCCTGCAACAGCTTCAGGCCGGAGGCGCTTCCCACTGCGCCGGGGAAATTATGCACAGCCATGTTCTTCTTGCTCATCATCTTGTGGCTTTGATATCGATCGTAATCTGGAATCTGTCCAAAGTTTGGAACGCTCGGTGTGTCATCGTGATAGAAGGGTGTTTCCATCTTACCCGTCATTGACACAGCAATATGAAATCTTCATAATCTGATCAGGAGGTTTCAGAACTGTGAGACTTTCCACGCCAACATAGTCCAGAAAAGGAAAAGCGAACCCTTTTTTTTTTTTTGAAAAGTTGGGTGGAGGACTCTCCGGTATCAGCCCTGTGAAAGAGAGACAGGTGGGATAAATATACACACATATACGGACTCGACCTTTCAGTGTGTCCTAGCTGATCACCCCGAGCCCCGGCCTGCGGTGGGTAGCAAGCATCTAAAATGAATTCACACCCTGTCGACCTTCAGCGACCAAACTGGTGTTGAGCACAGCTGAATAACGAACCACGTTTCAGGGAGAAAAACCGGAGGCTGCCTATCCTCTCCTGCCGTGAGCCCGGAGAGGCGTGTGTGTGCGTTACTACCTTTAGATTTAGGACCTACTTGAAAACGCTGCTTGAGCGAACGCTGCAGTTCACTTCTCTACGAGGTGAAGAAGGACGGAGGCTGAGGCTCAGACGCGCTCCGTGCGCTTCGTGTAGGCTGTGTAATTATCACGCCGTATCCATTCTAATGCTGAACGAGTTCGGCGATGAATAATTATTACAGTAACTCGCTACCGCGAGTGGGCTCCGTTTTACTGTCTGTGTAGGTGACAGGAAAACCCGCGCGGCGAGATTAGCGAGTTTTAGATCACTGGCGCTTGAGAAATAACCTTCCCTATGAAAGAATCCAATGAGTCAAAAGTCCTCAGCGTGTGTGTGTGTGTGCGTGTGATTAGTCAGAGAGCACAAGTGTGACAGAAAAACGACATTCAGCCGGTGATACGTTACCCCACGCATTCTGCTTCTGCCGAGCAGCTTCAGCCGTTAAAAAGGCAGGAAAACACGAAACGTGCGCGATATCCACCAAAGCCGGAGGGGTCCGTGGAAAAAAACAAGTCCAAGTGTCCGAGTCTGAGGTGAAATAACGTTTTTTGGAAGAAAAAAAAAAAATATGACGACGGTTAAACCTCTCCACGTCTGCCCGCTCCTCCCGTGCTGCTCGCCGCTCTCTCTCGGCTCAACTGAGGGACTTTCTGGTCGACTGCTCGGTAATAAACACACGCCCTTTTCTCTACACTGTTCCTGAAACTCTGCTTTCCCAGCCGTTTTCCGACAAGCCCCGCCTCCCAGCGCTGGATTGGCCGGCCTCGTGCGCTTCTGTCAGCTGGGATTGGCTAGCGCGTAGCCAATCTAACCCTCAGCGCAGAAGGCGGGCCAATCATATAGCTCAGAAGGCTGGCGTTATCGGAGTACGGGTGGGGAAAAAAACTGTCACACGCCGTAGTGACTCCGCCCACACTGTCGGAAGGGCTTCAGTGATTGGTCGTGCAGACTGCCGCGCGCGGTGGTTACGCGGTACAAAACCGCGTTACCTTAGTTACGACGTTTATCTCTCCATCTCGCCAAAACTGTGTTGTTATAACGGTCTTTTAACGAGTTTATTACATTTTATAAGTTATTACGTTCAGATTCTAACGTTTGTAAGCCATATTTTGGCTCGCCCCTCACTTATAACGCACAGAGACATCAATTCAGAGGGATTTTTTTTTGCATCCGCGCCACGTTATAACCTTTTTTAGCAGACTAAAAAAAAAAAAATAGTAAAAGGAACGGTTCTAGATAGAACCATGAGTTCTATCTAGAACCATTTCGTGCTTAAATAGCTCTTTGTGTGGTCAAACAGTTCAGATTGATGGAGAAAGTGTTGTATATTTGTTAAAATGATTCTACATAGCTCCAAAAAAGGTTCTTCGATATCAAGCACTTAACAAGGGAAGAACCTTTTTTTTTTTTTGGTGCCAAATAGAACCATTTTCAAAAAGGTTCTACGTATAGAACCATATACAACACCTTCTGCATCAATCTGAAGAACCTTTTCACCATGCAAGGAACTATTTAAGCGTGAAATGCTTAAAAGGAACTAAATGGAACCAATTCCTTTACTAAAGAACCCTTGAAGAACCATCTTTTTTAAGTGTAGTTCATGAAAGTAAGTGAGTGGAACACGACTCATTGTAACTGTGAAGCTGTTTCATACCACGACTGGTGCGCTGCCCGTCAAACATCAAACCAAAACCCGCGTACGTTCATTGAGAGAGGTTTTTGCGTACATTTCAAGCAGGTAGAACCTGTTTACCTTTCATCTTTATCGATATTAATGGTCATAATAGTTCCTAAATGATAGTCTGTGAGTCAACACAACTGGAACTGTTGTATCAGGGTGTGTGGTTATAGGAAAGCGACAGTACCGTCAGTCAGTGGTAATTACTGGACGACCTTTTCTGTTCTTTGCTCTGCTTGTTTTCTTCTTTCGTTTAAAACCTTTGTCCAAAAGCAGCTAATGCTTACCAGCATAGTCTTATTCTGTTTTTACATTCTAAAACACAAAATACAATAAATAAAAAAAGGAGCGCTTCTAGATACTTTTTGCATTTTTGTTTTTATTTTTTTACAAAATGTCTATCATTCAGAGCTTATCCGTGATGCAGTTCTGTAGAAAAAAAATGTACTTTTTACCTGCATTCATATCGGCATGTCAGCGACTGACTGCTGGACACCTGGATATAAAGCCATTTTGTCCTTTCAATAAAAATCAAACCACTTTGGGAGCCACAATATTTTATATCCATTTTACCATCTTGGCTGTAAATATGTCTCAGTATGTGCTGATGTACTAGCAAAGGATTAAAACATAAACAAAAACTCACTTTGCTCAGCTTTAAGCTTTAGCTCAGCTATAACCGCTTTTCTCGCATCTCCGGCAGGAAACTTTTCCTCAAAAGTCGAACAGTTTCTTGTAAAATGTCTCTCAACGTTTGTCTTTTTAAGAGGCTGAAGTCGCTTCTCATTCGCCAGCTTCTTGCTCGAATTTTCCCGTTCCACCTTAAATGGTGCCTGAGGTGCCAGAATGTAACTGCTGCACCATTTAAGGTGCTGGCGAACGAGAAACTGATCTCAGCTTTGCGACTTTTTAGTGTTTGATAGTTTCTCGTTGCAGATTAAACGTAAGGGAACCAGCTGGAGTGAATGTATAAGTCCATTTGTCATCAAATTATCAATATTCGTCTTTCTCTTTGCTGTTATTAGCTAGGCGAGGGTCTTGTCTGTGTTGCTATGGTGACCAGCAGTCTGCGCTGATCTTCAGGGTTAAAGGGTGAATTAGCAGTTCTACATTAACTCCAGAGTTTAAGACCATTTATTGTTAAACTGTGTTGAACGATCAGCAGAGCTTTATTTTACTGTAAAGGAGGATTATTTTATTTTTATCTACATCTAATTCAGCTGTGGAGCCACAACAGGGCAGTAAAAGAGCCGTCACTGACCCCTGCGCTAGGCAAAGGTAGGCAACCGTTTAGGGCCCCCATGAAAATGCATAATAGGTCTACTATATTGCAGCAAATGTAACAGTTCTTCTGAGTCATTTCAATGCAGCCCCACCCCTCAGTCATGGTTATAATGGACAATTCCATGTTATTACCACAAAATGACACAATTGCATAAAGACAGGCTGGTATGACCAAGACAAGTGTTAATCTACATTTTGGAGTTGAGGTTCTTCAGTGTGATTTTCTGGGTGTTTAGAGGGCGCACCAGAGGAACGCCAAAAAAAGAAGAAAAGGAAAAGGCAAGTTTTTTTTGCTACCCTCTCAAAGCTAATGTCTTTTCAGTCAGGACAGAGTCATAATGCCAGCGAAATGTTAATATCGATAGCCTCAGTGTTGGGTTAATTACGATAGGATTACATTACATATTACTATTTACATCTGTGTTACTCTGTACCACAGTATCTCAACCAGATTGGCAGATAATTTCGCTTCAAGCACATTTGTTAAAATAAGCTATGTTATCTGCCTGTACAGTGTGATAATTCTACTTAATACAATTACTTAAGTAAAAATGTCGAGAAATAACCTTTAGACGTTCTTACAACAATCTCAAAATGAGAAATATTGGATATATAGATCAGATTTCGCAGATGATTTCGTTTGTCAGGAATGTGTGTCTAAGGGCTCCACACCTGTCTTTTGTCTAGAACCGCAGAATCACTAAATCAATCCCTACTTGAACATGGTGGTATTCGTAAAACTGGATGAAAATGAACCAATGGAAATTATTAAATAACCCTTGACAGCTAATGCATATATGTGTGTGTATATATATATATATATATATATATATATATATATATATATATATATATATATATATATACACATACACAATATATATGTAAATTTACATATATATATATACATATATGTATATATATATATATATATATATATATATATATATATATATATATATATATATATGTATATATGCTGTTGAAAGAAAACCTTGTATCACCATTTTTGTTGTTTTTCATTTTTTGACATAATTTGAAAATGCCTGTTGCTCTTTACATTGTGTGTACATTTCATGATGAATGAACCAAAAGAAACGACCTAAAATGAATTGGAAAAAAAATCTGGTTCCATTGACTTACATTAAAAGTAAAGTAGATTTTTTCGTTCTTCTGTAAAGTTACCATTTTGGAGATACAAAGTTTGGTTCTCACAACAGCAATATATACATATATATATATATATATGTTCAGTAGTGCATAGATGAATTACGATGAGTCAAACTTGACTATTAGAGTTCAGTTCAGCCTATAAATGTCAAAAATCATTCAAAACATGCTAACGCTAGTAGTATCTTAGCACTAAGCTAACAGCGATGCACTTAACATTTGTTGGCAGGTCTAGATTAAAGACACAGACATTTCATTTGAAGCCTGTGTCGGACATTTTAGCATCTATTTTACCCAGTTTAACAGTAACTTGGAGGAAAACAGTTCCTGATTGGCCATTTGAAGAACATAATCCTTTTATTTCCGTCCAAAACTCAACAGTGAAACAAGATCAGTGTAATACTGGCAGAGTTTAGTCTATTGAATAAGCATTAACTAAAAATTACAGACATGCATTTTTTTTAGTTATCAGAAAACATTAGGCCATATCTGAAGGCCTGAGGGTTCCTCACTGGTGGCTACATGAGAACTCACCAAACATTTCCTTTGGCAACTCACAGATAAGTCTGGTAGCACAGACTCCCACAAAAAAACCACAAAACCTTTACAATGTTCTTTCCCTTTGTCAATATTTTCCACTCTTGTAGGCCCAAGGTTAACAGGTAATGGTTAAGAGCTGAGCTGCTTTGGGTTTTGCGACTTTTCCTGCAAACTCAAAGACCTCAAGGTTAGGCAGGGCTTGTTGGATGCTTGAAGGCTTGAGGACAGTGTCAGTGCCCAAAGCGAAAGCGTTTTTGCCCCGGCCTGGCTGGCCGACCGGTCCACCGACGGCCCGCAGCGTGGCTAGCTCTCACCCGTCTGCATTAGTTAACTGCTCCAAAGGTGATTTGCTTCAGGTTATGTCTCGCCCCTCCACCAGCACACATACAGACTCAGTGATACACATTCACAGAGCCACACACCGCTGCATTATTAATGATGATTGCTAGCTTTTCAGCCTTTTTTCCCTCCTTCACACTGCTTCCTTCAAGGTCAGGTGTCTAGCCCGGGGTGGCTCGCCGTTTCAGACGATTAGCTGAGGCGAACGTGTGTGGCTGCCTAGCGCTCAGCTTTCGATGAGGGCTTTTAGCACACCGAGAGGAGAGAAGTAGGTAAGGGAAAAAGAGCTGATGTGATGCACTGAGACAGAGCTGCGGAGGACAGTGGAATAAACCCCAGAACATGCCCTTCGCCGACCTCTCGGCCACAAGCGGAGGGCTAAAAGAGCCCTCTGCTTTCATTCTCTGCTCTGTAGCTCATGGTCAATTACCACAAACAATCATTTCAGCACTGAAAAAGTACTGAAGATATTCTGGCAACTGAAATCTAGTCATCATACAGTGCAGTGCACAGGTTAGTGTCCACTCTTTACCTTCATTACAGCTTCCATTCTCTTTGAGGAGACTCCCTTTCAGTTTCTCAAAGAATCTGCAGACACACCTCCAAAGTTCAGTCTTAGAAGCTGGTTGATGATTTTCTGAAGTAGTCAAACACATTCAGTG